CACTCACATTTTTCTACACTCGCATTTTGGAAACATGAAAATCTAAATCGAGTGAGCATTTCACACGGGTGGGAAGAACAGCTCAAAGACAGAATGATTTGATTAAAAAGATAATTGAGAAATAACATAAATGTCCTCTTTATTTTGCTTGTATTCAAAGCCAACAAAAAGCATTTTTGTCTGGTAAGAGTGACTACAGATAAGCGACAAGACATTGTTTAAAGAGAAGCTCCAAATAGTAGGTTTTGAAGGCAGATCTACCAAGATCACCTTCCCCAGCTCACCTGATTGCATGATAGGCTGGTGTGTGTGTGTGAGGTGAATAGTGAGTAGGAAGATGGCATTGTTGGGGAAAAAGCCTTCGGTCACTGTTAGATTCACAGCAATGACCTGTTTAATGTTTAGGCCATTTATAATAGCAACTCAAAGATGAAACCCACTTGATTATTAATACTTATGAATGTGTTTCTGTTTATACAAGCCTCTGGTGCACAGTGTCACTCTAATGTGTTGGTGCTTATGATTGTAATGAGCATGTTTACTGTGGAAGAGACACCATTTGTCTTGAAGTAGTCAATGAGTAACCTGTTGAGGTGGCATCAGTGTCACTGTGGTTGAGAAGAAAATGTTACAGTGGTTGCATATTGTCCCTAGATGTTTCTCCTGCCAGATGCAGATTTATTTTACTGTTTGTCTCAGTATAAGACACTTGTAGTTGAGTAAATCAGTGCATTGTTGCATAGTGATATTTTCTTTTTCTTTCTTTTTTGTTATCATTTCTTGCTTTAGGAAGTTGCACGATTATGAACGATTGCCTCCATAACCACCACAACATGCTACTTGATCTAATTGCTTTTTGGAACACTGGGGAGTTTTATTCCAAAAAGATAGCGCTAAGATTTCTGGGTCCCAGGAAACCATAACCCTTTTTGCTTCCTTGCAAAAAAACTAAAAGCCTTGGCTTCAGATTAACATTAAATATTCCAAACTAAAAAAAAAAGCAACAATCAAAATTTAAAAACATCTTTAGGTATTCAACATTCAGTTTAACACTTTAAAAAAACTCAGCTAATCTGCTTAATCAGGAGTGTGTGATTGTGAGTTCATCAGATCTGATTGGCAGTGGCCACCAGCTCTCATCAGTTTCTGATTCAGATGTGCTAAATTCTAATTGATGCAAGTTTGTGACCGCCATTTCTGAGTCATGCCTAGCTGAAACAAATAAGAAAAGCACAGAGGGAAAAAATATGCTGTAATTTCAAAATGTAAAATAACTAAAACTGTTCTAGCATCTGCAGAAAACCCCATCACTCATAGTAGGACACTGAGAAAATAGGTTTTCAGAGGTTTGTGGGTGTAGAGTCATCTGTGACTAATTTGGGGTTTTCTTCTGAAAATATAACAATGTATTTTAAAATAAAATACTTTACAAAACACCTGTTCAGCACTTAGAACAAAGCTCAGTGTATAACTTCACGTCCAAATGTTAACATGCAGTTTAGCAATGATCCAGCAGAATATCACAAAGACATCAGTCCTGTTAGCAGGTGAGCGGATGGCTGATAAATGTTAACATGCACCAAAGGCATGTTTGAAGTTCAGAGGAACAGTCCTAGCTACTGCGAGATTAAAAGCTATACGTAAATGGTATGTACTGGCCATTAATCATCCTGTTCAGCTAAAGTTCAGAGATGCACAGGGAATAGTGACTGTAGACACCCAAGGCCAGTCTGATGAAAGGAGTCACTAAAGTTTTAAGAATGAGCAGTAACAATGATGAAGGATGGTCAATGCTAAACATAATGCAGAAAGAGACCGTAATGATAGTTTTTAAGTAATTACAGAATTGCCTCTGTGTATTTCTACCTGTTGGGGACACTCGAGGTACTGGTAAATGTTTCCTTGAAAGCTGAGTATTTTTCAAGAAAATGTGCTGGACAAAGACAACGTATTCTTAGATGTTTTGCTGCTTAGAACACACATGGACACTCACAGATTTGGTCTTGAAGGCTAAAGAGTGTGCTTTGCTTTCTTTCTCAAAGGTTAAAGCAGAGTACCCAGAGGAGTCTGTTTTTATGTATTTGAAAGGAAGAGAAGAGGAAAGAATCTGTGCCTGTGTGTTTGTGTCCATCTGTGGCTTTTTATGCATGTGAGTTTCTCTCTCTCTGTGCCTTCACCTAGTTCTCTGCGTCCCTTGAAACTGTGCCTCTTTGAAAAAAGTTAATTTGGCAGACCAGGAGCCTACAGATATTCTTCCCCCACAGCCTCCTTCCACCCCCAGACCAAAAAACCCGCCCACACCGCTTCTCCCCCCCTGCCGAGCCCCCCCCCCGTACTCGCCACTCATGGAACATTTAACAACAGACATGTACCTGAATGTAAACGTTCACAGATTTTTTTTTAAGCCTTGTCTGGTCTTCCCTCCTTTTTGTCTGTCAACCCTCTGGCAGATAAACACACATTGGGTCAGAGTCAGAGAGTGGTCCCTCAGGCTGCACGGAGGTTTGATTCTGACATTTTTAAATGGAACAACATTCGCTGTGCTTGATTTGTCACATCTAAATGTCACAAGGAAAAAGCAAGTAGACCTCAAAAACATTCTACATTTCAAACACAAGGGCTGTCTGGTGTCTCTACAGTGAACAGTCTAAAAAAAATTAACTCACAATGACATTCAAATTAAACTGAAGGAAGTAAATTGCCCACCGTCAATTTTGAAAATGTCCATTGTATTTTGAATGTTGTTAATAAACCATGAGTTAAATTATAGGTCATGGTGGGGGAAAAACTTTCCTTGTTTTCCCATTAACTGCAGTGATGTTTTGATATGTGTTAAGGTCAAAACAGCACAAGGCTTAATGAAGACTTAATGAAATGGGTTATATAAACCAAATGATCTCTCAAAATCTGAAGCTGAGTCATTTCCTGCTTTTTCAGTTTTGCCGAAGTCAGGCATGTTTTTATGCATGTGTAAGTGCAGTACACTGTGTTTGTAATTGTAGGTGTGTGTGTGTGTATGTGTAAGAGAGAGAGAGAACAAGAGATTGGATAATCAGTTGAAATTGGGCATGACTCATCAGGTATTTCATCAGTGCCACCTCATAAATCCCATGACTTTAAAATGCATTTTGTGTGTTTGTATGCGTGTGGCTGAAAGAGCAATTAGCTGCTAATATGGTGGGCTTTTATGTGTCTCTTCACTGCAAGTTTGGAAATTAACTTTTTTGTCCACCTGCCACTGTGGCTGCTGGATTTGCTTGGCTCTCCCAGCCACTCAATTTTTAACCAGCAGAGTGTAACTGCATGTATAAAATAATACAGTACCTTTTTCTCTTTCATGTACACACACAGACACATACATACACTCACTCATGAACCTTGAAGTTATATTTGATGAGTTGGTCAGATTAAACAACAAAAACATTCCTACCCCATCCTCATCCCCAGTCCCAGTTTAATGCCACTCCCCCTGGGATCCTTATGATTCAGAGCTGCTTTCCTGAGCATTCCTCTTCTCCTCCATGTTATACATGCATGGTAACTAAATACATGTACCATACATGCTAGCTATTGACATTACATGACAGCTATAGTCTCACTTTAATTTAATGTTTAACTTTTTAACATTAGTAAATGGAATTTTAAAAATGACTGCCCACTTGGATTGCCATTGGTAATCTCAAAATAGCCTTTGTTTTTTATGATTGCGTGGGTATCTCAAAACAATATGCTCCTCTTCTCCAACTGGGCCGCCTTCAGGCTGTTAAGTGCCTTCAGGGCAGCAATATTCTCCGCGGCACTATCGTGGCATTTGGATGATTCATTGTCCTTTATGGCTTCCAATTTTAAATTTGTAGTCCCAGAAGTGAAACTGTTTTTCTTTTACTGGCATCTAAAGCACAGTGATGTCTCCTTGTAAATTAACCAATCATGAGTTTGTCCATTATCAACATTTATCCATGTTTCATAAAAAAAAAGAAAAAAAAAGCATTTTGACCCTTGCCTCTTTGGCCTGTGTCTCTGGGAGATTTTTTCCCTGCAGTCCCTATCCTGCAATGTAACGCACATTTTTCTTTTGTTGTTGTTGTCTGTCCTCCACAACGTTGGGTAACCTACATGACTTAAAATTAAGCTGATTCTTTTCCAACTTTGGTCACTAGGTAGCGTTCTATACTCCAGTTGCCTAGGTATATGGGCAGGGTCAAGGAGGTGGCACCAGTGTTTCACCAGCCACCCAGGAATGTGATTGGCCACCCCAGTCAAAGTGTGTCAAAATGTGATTCTTGTCAGTATTAATGAATGAAAAACAATGACAGTTTGTTTTATTTAAATACAACTAACACCCTCCGGAGCTTTATAAATGATATCAAGCATGATATCATGATATATAAATATATGGAGCATGATATTTGCATTCATTTCACTGATTGTGTTGTTGTGGATGATTTGACTGTGCAGCAACAGCGATGTCCTCAGCAGGGAGTAAATAACAAGCGCAGCCAAAGTTAGCTAAAGAAAGCGCTATGTGTGTCTCATTTGATTCTTAATAATGTATGGTTTATTTTCATATTTATTTTTATAGAAGTTTAGTTTATTTTTCACAGAACTATGGGTTTAATCTACTTTTTACATATATTTCAAATGTGCCACCCCTCTCTGTCTGTGCCCCAGGCTAGCTACCCTATCCAGAATTTTTTAGATCTGCCGCTGCTTGGGTCACCCTATGTGTCTCCTCCATGAAATGCCTGAGTGAAACAAGCAGTCTAGTGATTCAGTCTGCTTTGTGGAACGTTACAAATCACTCTGTTACAATTGTGTTAGTTTTTTGCATATGCAAATTTTATTTACCTGCCACTGTGGCTGATAGGTTGAGCAAGTTCACCCACCACTCCCAAAAACACAACTGCATTTGGTCTGTGGTAGGTACTTAAATTCCTGCCCCGCTTCACTGTCATGCATTGTTTTCTTACTGGTACATTTTTCTCTCTCTTTCCTTGCAGGGTTGAGGAAAGTTTTAAAACTCTCTTCTGGTCGATATTTGGGCTGTCTGAAGTGATCTCAGTGGTGCTGAAGTATGACCATAAGTTCATAGAGAACATCGGCTACGTGCTGTATGGAGTCTATAACGTCACCATGGTGGTAGTCCTTCTCAATATGCTTATTGCCATGATCAACAGCTCATACCAGGAGATAGAGGTACATAAATAAGATGGTCAGTCAATAGGCTGTAGAAATGGTAATACTGTCAAGAAGCCAGAAGGATCATTTATTTTTGTGCCTGGAAGAGAATTACAGATTTGGTTGAAAATATTATGAAACTCAAAACTATTGCAATAAATAAATAAAGTAAATAAAATAAAAAAATATTTTTAAATATATCAAATAAAAGTAGAAGCTGCAGTGGAAAGCTGTCATAAAAACAATGCTAATTTCAGCTAAATTAATGCTGAAAAAAACTGAAACTGTTGACAAGTAGGTGTTCAGTTGTCTGCTGTAGTAGAGAAGTAGAAGCAAACTCAACAGTTGAATGGGATTTGTTCCTGTTCGCTCTTTGATTGATCCTTTGATGTTTGATTTTTGTAACTCAACATTCTGTCATTTCTTTGGAGTCGCATGCAATTGTAATTATGGTAGATACTAATAAAACACGACGTACTCACACAGAACTCTAATGTGATAAGATATTGTTAATTTGTGATTAATAAGTTTTAGTGTTTGGAATCTATTTTCCTGAGAAAGTAAAACATTGATTTAATTGGATAATTTGTCTATCAATAGTCATAAAACTAGATGTAGTTATAGCTACTTTTTTCCTCACATGTTCCCGCAGTTTATTTGTTTCACCCTCTGTCTCTGTTGCTATTTCTCTGTAGGAGGATGCTGACGTGGAGTGGAAGTTTGCCCGAGCCAAGTTGTGGCTCTCATATTTTGATGAAGGCCGCACCCTCCCTGCCCCCTTCAACTTGGTTCCCAGTCCGAAGTCCTTTTACTATCTGGTCCTCCGCATCAAGTCCTGCCTGATACGCCTCTGCAAGGCCAACAGCCGTCGCCATGACAACACACTAGAGATGGGCATGCTGAACTCACAGGCCAAGGTGAGTGTGAAGAACATTTTTCATCCTTAATTTCATGACATATTACAGCCATAAACGTAACTGAAAAATATTTAGTTACTTTGCAAACATTATCTTCTCAGGTCACTGGTCCTGGTGTAAATGGTGAACAGGGATTCATCATCAGTTCTTCTCTGTAGTTTTCCTCGTCCTCAAGGGTGCTTTTTCATTAAGTCCAAGTGACACTTTTCCACCCTTCTTCTCTCCCTTGTCTTCTGCCTGCTCTTTGTTCACCACTAAAATGTCAGCAAGAAAATAATCTGATTAATGCTTGTCTGTAATTTTTCCTGTAGAATCAGATCAGTCACCGGAGCCTCTATGATCACGCACACAGGTCATCCTTGTCCAGTTCACAGGGGTTCTCTGTCTCTCATTTCTACATCTCCAATGCTTCTTTTTTGTTCATCCCAGCAACCTTTGACCTTTCATTAGCTGCCTTCTCCCACCTTTCAATTCCTCCTTGGAATTTGTTTTCTTAGCCTCGCTGACAGTAACTAATGCACAGACATTGTTATGAAGAATGGTTAATTAATTGATTTCCCAAATTACGTTTTGATAACCATTAAATAATAGACTGTATTTTCTTTCATCCTAATGTTATTATTATCTTCTACATGCTTTGATTTGACTATTCCTACATTTTCAGGCTCTGCAGTAGGAGACAATAATTACAAGGCAATGCCGACAATATTCTGCCTGTTTTCTTCACAGGCCATTCAGCATGTTATTCTCAGACAACAGGAAAACAGTTTTATAAAGTAACAGTTATAACACATACAGCAAATATTTTCACAAAACAGGCTGGAATCATTGCAGTTCTATGGGTACAGTTTATCTCACAATTTCTTTACTTATGTGCAGTTTTCCATGTTTTACATGTTTTCTGCATATAATAAATAATTATTGCCACTAGTGCACTTTTAATCAAAATATTCATGTTTTGTGAATGATTAGTTGTGCCCTTATGTGGCTTTATTTAACGAACTGTTGAAACTAGAAAAATGTCAAAGGGCAGGCTCACGTATTGCAACAACAATCTGCAGTGGGCTTGCTTATATAAGTAGGTCTGACTGTTTATAGCACAACAGTGAATTACTGCATCTTCAGTAGTGTGCATTGGAAGAAATGTCTGATGAAATTCAGTAATGTTTTTTCTCTTATGATGTAATTTGCTTTTAATTTAATGCAGACGTATTCTTTATGCTGTATATTCATAATTCAGAAAAAAAAAATCTGCAGCTTTTTGAGAGAAGTCAGATTCTTTAACATTCAACACCAGTGCGTTTTGGATTTGGCAGGGCTCACAGCGGACTTTAAAGCTTTGTCAGTATTCAGAAAAGGCAAAAATGTCTCCACTTTTAAGTAAAAACTTTTTGACACAGCAGCATTAAATTGACACATGCATGTATAAGCCAGTTAATAGGATTGAACTCTGGTCAAGTGATGCTGTTCATTCTGTTTTCTCTTTGAATAAACTGTGAACACTGGATACAAACAATGAGCTCCACTTTTCAGTGTTGTTTTGTTTTGGTGGTGTGTCATCTCCTTTAACACTTTTTAAGTGCCACCATTATGGAAGATCAGTCAACCCTGAAATGTGATGTGTAACCCTGGACTGTTGTCTGCTTCTCGCTGTTCCAACAGGATGAACATTTCAGGGCTTATCCACGACCAGGAGAAGAGTTCATCCCCAGAAAATCTAGAAAACACCCAACCAGATATCAGGTAGGACAGAGAGCAAAGAGTGGCTGGACTAAAGCAGAGACTGGAGAATGGCTGAAGGGTGATGGAAGGTAGCAGGAAGAGACATGGAGAGAGAAAATTAGAGACTGATGTGAAAAACAGAGGTAAAGATGAGAGAGAGAGTTGGAGGGAGAGGAAAGAATTTTACATGAAAGAGCATCGAGACGCAGAATTGATTGGTGTGATTGCATATGAAAGAGGGAAAGGAGGAGTGAGAACAAGAGCAACAGAGTGAGGCTGAAAATGCCACTAATGAGCTGTTTGATGGAGATCGAAAGCAGGCACTCAGTAAATGAGCTCAAAGTATCACACTGAGGAGGGAAAGATACTCTTTCACCTTTGCCCTGATTCAAATCTAACTTCTGCCTCTGGTCCACTGCACCTTTTTCTCCATTTGTGTTTGTGTTTTTTTAACATCCCTCATAAAAACAGAACAGTATACACATCAGACACTGTCATTTGATTTGACATTTGTATGTGTGCTGCATGTGTGGTGACGGGTATCGACCCATATCCAGCCTGTAAGTACAGCAGCTGTATGACATCCCTTTTGGCTTCAGGTCAATACATTTCACACACAAATCAGAGATGTGTTAGTGTAACGCCGTAGCTTCTAGCACTGTACAATTTTGTGTGTGCACATACACTGATCAGCCATAACATTATGACCACCTGCCTGCTACTGTGTACACAGGAGTCAATGGGGCAGTTGGTTGGCACTCGTGTCACTCCGCAGCTCACTGTGCATCTTCTGTGAATCTGTTTGCTTCCATAGTTCTACTGTCAGGAAGAACATGAATGTGTTGACCATTCAATGGAAAACTTATGTAAAACCAGTGAAGACTGTGGTCGTGAGGACAAGTTTGAGAGAATTTTTTTAGACAAATTCAACAGCCTCCCGACTCTAGATGTGATATCACCACTACAGCCACTGAATGTTTTTCTTCACAGAGACCAGTGTACAGTATTTCTCATTTTCAACCATTTTAAAAAAGATTTAAACTGAATCTTTTGAAAAGGATGAATGAACTTTAAAAGTTTAATGTACAGTAGGTCAACCTCATCATCAGTGAGTCTTGGGTGTACATGACACTGTCATGGTTCACTGTTTGTCCTTCCTTAGACACTGTTAGTAGGTACTAACCACCGCAGACTAGGAACACTAAACCAGACCTGCAGTGTGGGAGGTGTACTGACCCAGTCAACACCCATCACAGATCCCTACACTTGCCCATTTTTCCTGCTTCCAACACATCAACTTCGAGGACTGAATGTTCACTTGCTGCCTAATAAAACTCACACACTGACAGGTTCCGTTGTAGTGAGATAATCAATGTTATTCACTTCACCTGTCAGTGGTCATAATGTTATGGCTGATCGGTGTATGTGTGTACATACATGTGCATGGGGGTAAATAAAAACTTGTCATCCTTGTCAGCCTCACACTATCTAATGTTCTCTTGTTTCCTCCCTGTAGAAGATCATGAAGCGCCTGATCAAACGGTATGTGCTAAAGGCTCAAGTGGACAGAGAGAGCGATGAAGTCAATGAAGGTAAAAATTGTCACTTTGTCAATGTCTCACCTATAGCACAGTTTTGTGACCTTGTAAATAGGTTCCTACCTTGATATTTGTCTGTATTTGCTCACGCAAATGTGTCCTAATTGTTTTATACTTACTCAGCTCTTCCTTTGTATCTGTGTCTGTGTGTGACTGTGTTGTAGGTGAGCTGAAGGAGATCAAGCAAGACATTTCCAGCCTCCGTTATGAGCTCCTGGAGGAGAAGTCCCAGGCCGCTGGGGAGCTGGCTCTACTCATCCAGCAACTTAGTGACAAGTTTGGCAAGAACACCATGAGACACTGAAAGGCCTCTCATGAAGGCGAGAGACGAAAAGATGGAGGCAGATGTGAACAAGGTTGAAACCAGGAGGAGGTGGGGGCCAAAACAGGGTCAGTTGAAGTGTTTTTAAGACCTTGGTAATGAAAGGAGGACAGAAATGAATGAGGGGAAGCAGGATGTTTTTAAGATAGAAAAGAAAGTGGAATACAAGCTTAAGAGAAAGAGTCATGGCACAGAGTGAAAATTGCTAACACAGGGCAAAAAAGCAAATGTTTTCTATACGGAATGTCCAATTAAGGAGAAATGTGAAAAGAAAATAGCTGCGACTGTGAGTGAATGTGAGGTCAGAGTTGAAGTAAACTCATGTGGGAAGGGGGGCATGGGGGGTATTGAGTTCTAATTAAAGGCAACATCTTGAGGGATCGAGAGAGGAGAGAAAGGCAGAGGCTCATAGCTCAGGTAGGAGATAGCGGGAGACAGAAGAGGAGGAGGAGAACACAAGTGCCATGTGATATGAAGAGACACCACAGTGTAGAAGACCGATGCAGCGCAGCGATGAGGCCCCCCCACTTTCGCTGCCAAGAGATATCAGTGCATCACCAACTTGGTGGCGAGCGAGGAAAACCCAGAGAGAAGGGATGACAGAGAGAAAGCTGGAGGGGGAGGGGGGACAAGAAAGAGAGAGAGAGATCTGAAAAAAAACTGCCACTGCTATTCACACCAGAAAGGCTGGCTTTGCTTCTGTGTCTTCACCTTGTCAGGACAAGCAGCGTTGCCTGTTGAGATACTTTACATCCCTTTATATGCCAGGCTTTCTAATTAATGCATTTCCATCCACAATGCACAACTTGTGATCAGGAGAATTCAGGAAAAAGCGGGAAACAATATAACATTTATGCACTCAATTGTAAGTCAGTAAATAAATAGCTCACTCAAATATTACTCATTATCCACTCATCTTAATGTCAGTTGGACACTTTTTTAGTGTTCACACACTGTGCTGTGTAGACACACAGTGTTGCAGCACCATGTGCAGAGTCGCCAAAGAGATGTTTGAAAGATCCTAGAAATTGACTTTATAAAAAAGTGGCAGTGACATTGCTCCAGACTGCAAGACTTTAAGTCATTCAGAATTATTTAAAATGCAACATTCTAAAAAAGCATATGCTTTCATAAATATTGCAAGTATGGGTAAATCAGATAGGAAATAGTAAAGACAGTGCTGTACAAATAAATTTAGGAACATTTCACAAGTCCTCTTTTTAGATTTCATACAAATTTGAACAAGTTTAAGCCAATAGACGTGTTACAATGTGACCTAGATAGCTGTTATGGATATTCTCATCTTTTGCAGCACAATGTGTCTCTGTGTGTCATGTTCTTTTAGAATAGTGACCAAAAAGCAATGTCCTTGAAAGGTTATTTACAGCTGTAAAATTCTGGAGGACAGTGCTTATGAGAAGCACAGTAAAACTCTTCTGATTGCCTCAGGACAACTAGACATATGTAAGATGATAAAATCTTGCAGACACAATATAGTCTCTTGGAACAGCAGTGCAAACACTTAGCTATAAAACATGGGGATTTGGCAGTAGAAGCTGTGTGGAGTCATTTTATGGTTTTATTTTTCTTTTGGAGACTTACTCACAAGCTGCTGCACTAGCTAATTTGTCTTAGACCTCATCAGTGATTCAGCTGACATGTGGATGGGTGAGTAAGTAATGGTTGTACGGTATGTTAACTAAAATGTTTTTTTTTTTAAGTTATCCCAATAATAATGCACAATTTGATGAACTGCTTATTCTGCCAATTCACTATTTTGTAAATGAGATCTTTTTTGTGTGTGTGCGAAGGGGAAAACTGTGTTGACAACAAACAGGATGCAGATGTTCCTGGGTACAAATAAGGTGCTAAACATTACATAACTAGTCAAAAGTTTGGGCTCCCTTTCTCATTCAGTTCTGTGAGAAATTGTGTCCAAACTTGACTCATGCTGTTTGTTGACCTGTGTGGATCAGCATCACTATTTGTCCTTTTTGTAATAGCATCTTAGTTTTTGATTATGATAACAAACATTAGCCATTAAATCATTATTTAGATTCAGTCAAACCCCCAGTCCTGAGCACAGTCAGGATTTATTTCTCTCAGATTATGTTCACATCTATGTTTAGAATGAGTTAGTGATTACTAAAATTAAATTTCCTGCTTTTCACTTTTGTTTGTTGTACTGCTTCTGGGAATCCGTCATATCCAGTGTTCACACAACACTTGTCTGCATATATTTACATGTTGTCATTTAAAATGTTCATAAATGAGACAGTGGATTACGCCAGAGATCCTGCTGTGGAGATCATAAGGCTACAGCATACAGTCCATTCCTTCTCTTTCAAAAGCAATTGGATGACATCAATCATAACAAGTATTATTAGACTAAAACATCACAATGTCATTATTATATTTTTGTGTGGATGCTATCAAACATCTTCAGCCTGATTTGAAAGGATCAGCAGGGGCCTACTGCCCCTAATAACACATTTAGTGGGTTGTCATTATACTATACATCATTTTCTTTGGTGAGATAAACAAATCAGACCACGTCCATGTTAAAATTATTATCCATTACAATAAAACTTGAATTGCAAGACTGTGAGATGAGTTACTGTTATAAGGAATGTATCTCTATTTGGATTCTTACAGGACATTTTTAAAGCTTTACAGGTTAAAAGCCTAAAGTCACTAGTAGGTGCAGTAGGCCCCTTTCAGCACCATTAAGGATGAGTAGTAGTTTTTAATCATAAAGATATAATACAATTGAAATGGTTGACTTTATAGAGTTATGAAGTTTTCAGTATGTAATGATCATTTTTGTGTCAGATACACAAATCTTATTTCATTTTTGTTTACAGTAAATAAGTAGGCTGACTTAAATTTGTGTTTGTTTGTTATGTGTGTCAGTGAGTGAAAGAGCAGCCAACTATTTTTCTTGCGCAGAACCAGGCTATTAAGAAAAGACTCGCAAAGAGGGTTTTTAATTATTCCTGCAGCCAGAAAGACAGATTTACCTGAAATACTGTATTTTTAAATCATATGTAGGACATGTTGGTTAAAGAAATATCTCTTAATGTATCTTGTTATATTTTTGATCCTTAAATTAAAAAGAGTTGGCTCTAAACTGGTTTGGTTGCTTAATCATTCAAGGTCTTTGCATGTTTGTACTGATGGGGGGAGTTCAATGAAATTCAGTGAGACTAAATATGTGGTGTATTTAGTCCCCATCAGTAGCCCTTAGTTGAGGACAGGTGCTGGAGGTTAATCACACAGTGTCATTCTGTACAGTTTGTAATGTGGTTACATGCAGCTTAGTACAACTGTTACATGAACTCGCATCCAAAATGTGCTAAAGTTAACAAAACGCTTAATGCTGTTTGTATTTCATAGCCATATGCAAAGGTTCTTTCCCAGTAATAACACCGTTACCCATCCTGCATCGTCCAAAAACATTGGCATAATGTACCATCTATCATCTATCTTATCATTTTGCTTTATTGTTTTATTACATAAACCAACATCTAGTATATGTCAAGTCAAGCTATTTCATAGCCCAAGGTCATATATACAGTATGTTTTATAGGCCCACAATCACAAATGTTTTTGACACTATCTAATTATAATGCCCTCATCTAACACTTAGCAAAGGAATTTTTTTTTCATGTTGCTAGTCTGAAAAATGAGTGAGGTTTGCTAATTGGTCATGTTCAATACTGATGTTGATCGTTGCAGGGTGGCCAGAAAGACCTAATGTAAGCTTCAGTGTGGCCCTTAGAAGCTAATAAACTAAAACATCTCTATGCTTTAGTCTGTTAATGGACCAGCCAGTGCTTAGCCACTAGGAAATCATTATATTTTGGGAAAGCTAGTAGGCACTCAAGGTAAACATTACAGTACATCCTAAACCAGATATAATGTGACCCAAAACTAACTCTGATGTTTCTCCATAGCCCCAAAGGCAGAAATGCAAACACCCCCAGGGTGCAGTATTTTTTTTTCATGTGATAGGGAGCATTGCCTCATCAGCAATTTCTTAAAAAACAGCAACAGCAACAGCAAAAAAAAAAAAAAGTACATAAAGCAAATGCAAACTTAACTTTTAGAGTGGCTGTGAAGAGGGTTTAAAAGACAAAGAACCCCACTGTGAATTGGCTTCTCTCTCTCTCTCTCTCTCTCTGTGTGTGTGGGTGTGTGTGTGTGTGTGCATGTAAGTGTGCACACTGAGTCATGCTCCTGTGTGTGCTGACCTTGTCAATGCACTTGGAGTGTCAGAGACATCCTGAGAGCTGCCCTCTAAAACAACACTGTAAACACTCCATTCCAGCATTTGTCCAGGTGTTTATCAGAGCTTAGTCACTCGATACCATTTGTTCACCAGTCTCACTGAGCTATCTCTGCACTGTTTCAGGCTGTCACTGATGCGTTATTGTATATATCACAGTGAATGTTGCAGCCGGTAAAGGAGAAGCTAGTTTTAACTAGCTTATATTCATTTGATTTGAATTACTGCTGGGCAGCCTGTGAATTTTCCACCATGAATCAATGAGGTCTTATAATTATTCTGTAGTTTTTTTATTAATCTGGTTCTATAAAGTAACTAAAGTTATAAAATTAATGTAGTGGGGTAATAAGTACAATATTTGCCTCTACAATGTAGTAAAGTCAAAGTATAAAGTAATAGAAAATGAAAATATTCAAGAAAAGTCCAGTACCTCAAAATTGTACTTAAGTAAATGTATTTAGTTACTTTCAACTACTAGATGTTACCTTTTTAAACTGTTTCAGGGAAGTTCTGGACTGCAACTTTGCTCTTAAATCCATTTTGCCCCAGTGTAGCGCTAAACCAGAAGCGGTGATACTGTATATCATGTTGGCTGACGTCACCATGTAAAAGAACCATTGGGAAGTAGGAAGCTGGTAAGAAAGAGGAATGCTTGGATTTTGACCACTTCGTGAAATCTCATGTCTTTTGAAGAATAATAAGGTAAATTATCAAGCAAGCAAAACATGTACAAGAAATCAGCTCAGTCTGTTTGCAAAACATGCACGTACCAAGGAATGTCTCATTTAAAAACTGCAACTCTATAAGTGGAACTTTCTTATAAGTAAAAAATGATTTGTCCTTTCCAGAGGCCTTCATATTGAACAGCTCTTTTGTCAGCGTGGGCCTTAGTATACTGGAGGTGAGATAACAGTAGCCTGTATTTTGGAGGATATTTCAGCTTAAAAAGTTATAATGGTACTATAAAGTACATTACCATGGTGTATAATGAACGTTATTTTCTGCTACCTGCTTCTTGTCTATGCTTCTAACTTCAACTTCAAACGCTCACTAGTAAAATGAGATCACTATTAATATTAACTACGAATCTTTTGTTGTTTCTTTCTTGAAACATCATTTAATAATTCCTTTGTAAAATATTTTGTATATTTCCAATTAAAATGTCACCAGGCACAGGTTTAAACATGCAAAAAAAAAAAAAAATCTCTGCAACAAGTCCAATTACAGGCTTGAGTACACTCCTCATCATATTGTTGAGTCGGGCTTATAACATTTGTCACATCCTCTCTTTCTGTTTCCTCCGCTCTCCTTCCCATCACTCTCCTTGCTGCTTTATATATGCAGGCCAGTAAAGCAGAAATGCCAAAACACTGTCTCAGAACAAGAAGAATTACATGAGCCTAAGAAATGTGCACACATAAACAGCAGCTGAGACCCTTACTGGCCAATCACCATACCAGTAAAGGCTTTTCAAAGGAAATTCTGTTATCTTATTTCCCTCAGTGCTCTGCTTCAGACTTATATGTTTTGGCCTTAAAGGCATTAAACAATAACACATTCTGTCAGTATGTGTGTGTAATTGTGCATCTGTGTGTGTTGTACAGTATGTGTTCTGTGTTTTAATCACAATATTACATTTTATAAAAGTGTATCTATCTGTGCTTCATTGTGTATGACCTGTGAGCAGACAGCGGCCTGTGTTCTTGTGTAAAAAGACCTTGTGTGTGTGTGTGTCTGTGCATGTGTGTGTGTGTGTGTGTGCAACACAGTATAACCGTCTACTGTAATTTGTCCCAGAGGCCTAAGGCATGGAAGTGTTTCTAGCCCTCCCTCCTCCTTCTTTCTTTCTCTTCATTCTCTGTTTCACCTCCTCCATCTGTCTTTCTCTGGTTCTGTCTCTCCTGGCAAAAGCAGTGAGCGATGTGACCCCATGCCTCTGAAAGACAGGGATTCCAGGGATTTGGAGGAGAGATTAGACTCCTTTTCCAACATGCCTCTCGCCTACTGCCTGGAAGCCCCCTCAGGAGATAAACTTAGCAGCATGCACACATACAAAAAAATATATGCTTACTTGCTTGAATAAAAACATGTATACATAGCAGCTTATCATTTCTTGTGTATTATTAGAAGCTTGAACACATGTGGGTGGGCCCAAACACACCATGTGCACACTCACACACCAGACTGTCTGTTATTAGCACATTTAAAAAGTGAATGCTAATTTGTTTGTATACAAAGACAAACAAATGCTTCCACTCACATATTCCTGGATGCACCAAACAACACCAAGTTAGAGTTCAGCTCAACAGCCTCTTGTGGCTCTTACCCACACAGATGCACACTCACAGGCAAGTATACAATATGTCAGATGTCGTTTTTTGCACACACACTAACATTAGGTTTGCCAACCCTTTATGAATAGCCAGGAGACTTCTGGAATTAATTTAAGCCTCCTGGAAAAGTCAAAATTCAATCTGGGAGACTTTTGGCATTTTTTAAACACAGATTGAAGGTAAAATGCCAGGAAAAATGCAAATCCATATGTAAAGCAACTCTGGGGCACCAAGAGAAAAACTGAAATTGCACAATTTATTTAAATTAAATAAATTTAGGCTACTTATACAAAAAATACTTACTGTAGGCATTGTGCATTGCCAGTCTTCTGCCTTGTGCTGTGGTTTTGTGGTGTACTAGTAATGCCTTCACTCAAATGGTTTTCATATTTTGATGACATGAAAGGAGCTGTCTGACTTGTGGCTGCACCTCTCTCTATCTGTGACTGCTGGACTCTGTGAAGTCTGGCAGATAAAGTTGGCATCCCTAACTAACACATGGTTAATATCCAAAGCGTCAGTCAACCCCTCAAGCAATCTGTCTCTCATCACAATATTACATTTGAACAAAGCACTGTGGAGAGGACAAACCACTTAACAAACCAAAGGACAAATGAAGAGAATAAAGCTGTCTCAGTCTTACAATAATAGCCCTTTATCACTACAGATACAGCCTTTATTACAGTCATAAGAATATCATCTAACCCGCTCAACAGTCTTTAAAAAAATCACATATCCATAGTTCTGAGACTTTTTTATGAGTTCCCATCACTGGTGAAACGCCAATATCTCATTTCTGGAGCAGTCAGAGGGCTGATGGAGCACTGGAGGAAGGGGCTACTGGGGGGCTATCAGAAAAAAAAATACTTGTCGAGTGTTTACCAATTCTTCGAAGCCACAGTTCACTGATTCGAGATGGATAAAGGGAGTGATATGACAAATCCCTGACAACCCCTCCAGGTGGCTCCAACAGTCCTCAAGGTGTGTGAGCTGCTGCGCTGAAGAATGACAGTATATGCAGCCGTAAGTACACTTGTAATTGCAAGCAGAGCACTTGAAACTGCACATCCACACAAGATAAATGTGTCAGGTGAGCACCTATCTCATGCAAGGATGTTTCCCCAGATGTCCTCATTGTCATCATGAGGCACACACAAAAGAAGCCCTGCTGTTTTCTATGTTGTAACAAATGACAGAGAACAGTTTCTATGTACCTTGTAGATTCAGAGTTGAACTAAATTGTAACAGTTTAGAAAGCAAATCACAAAATGGCAAAATGTGCCTCTTCTGAGTTAAAGTCAATGTAAATCAATGTGTATTACTCAGAGCAAATATCAACATTGAAAGTGTGCAGTACAAATCTTACTTCGAAACCTAAACCAACTGTACAAATGCAAGGAATCTGTTAACAAGCATACTATGCTTTTCATAGCATGACTCAGTATATTATCAGCATAAATGTAGCAGCATTTGACTCTTTGCTATGACCACTGTCATCCTCAGTGCTCTTATA